TATACATATATTATATATATATATATATATATATATTGGGGCACACCTATGTGTGCGCTTACACATACACACAAGTATACACGTTTTCGTAGGGATTCAGACATATATTTCTGTATATGTTTTTGCATACCTTATCTATTTTTGGGTTTACACTTTATTAGAAAGAGTTGTCAGAGGGTTGACTCAAGCTAATCAAGTATGATGGTAGCGTTTCCGTTCCATTCTATTGTAATGGGTATAGAAGGGTCCTACCTATTGATAGCGAAGTTTCGCCTTTCGGTCATCTATCTGTTTAAATATGCGGCTTATAACGTATATACATATCACACTGTCCCAGGTTGTTGCAGTCGGCATGGGGACCAAATTTCTTCGACAAGACACCATAGGTGGAGATACATACGGGGTACGTATACGCGATTGCCACGCTGAGGTGCTCGCACGCCGGGGTCTCTTGAAATTTCTGTCTCAACAAGTGGAGCATTTTTATACCGGGGTAAGCAATTTGCCCAAATATTGTGGGAGAGTGCGGAGACTACACAAAACCAGTCGTTCTAGCTCTGGCAATCTCCCCTGCTATTGTAATCGTGTAGTGTTGCTGTCTGAATGGCGATAGTGCGGCAAGTACCTGCAGTTGTGCATTTGTAGAAGTGTTGTTCTCAATCATGCCTGATAGATTGGAACCTGACTAACAAATCATTGCTGATTCGTTCTTAGGTTTCACCGTCTATTTGCGTGCTCGAGCAGAGTACAGACGGGCGTTTGCGCTTGAAAGATACTGCAACTATACATATGTATACTAGTTCACAACCATGCGGAAATGCATCCATGAAGCGATGGGCGAAGACCAGACACGTGTATTATAAGGACCTGGGCAAGTAAGCCATGACTTCTGTATATGTACATCTTGAATTGTAAATGAAGCTCGTGGCCATCATTGTGTGATAGATCTCAGCACTAGGCACGCTTTTGATGCTGTAAGAAACATTCATCAATATGAACGTACCGGTCGAGAACTGCCTCAACAAGGAAGGTGTCTTATGGGAAACCACTCGACATTCGATAATTGCAGAACAATTGCCTTTCCGTATTGATCGAACCTTGAATTGATCATATCTCGGCTGCAGATACGATCTTCCACCTCCCGTGCCTCATCCACCCATGGATTTCTCCAACCGGGCGATTGGACAAATAGCTCTTCTAGTGAAGAAGGATGCTAGTGTGAATGCGGAGATGCTGCGTACTGCGGTTGAGAAAGCCTTCGGGGAGCACAAGAACCCTAATCCAGCCATTTTACAGAAGAAAAATCGTAGTCGTCAGGACACCCGTTCGGCCGTAACCGTTGCAGCAGATGATGTGGAAAGCTCAGCACCGGTGAAAAGACGTTTAACGGGCGAAGCGGTAGATATAGATAGTGCATGTAGTCACGCAAATACAGTCGCCATGGCACAGACGCACATACACGGACTGACGCCAATGGCGCATGACAATGTAATGGCCCCTGGTGCTGAAGTACATACGGCTACAAGTGCGAGTGCATCGTCAAATGGAACTGCTGCTGGGAATTCGGAAGCCGTCAACGTAAGCAAGGCTGCAATGGACACAGCACCAGCCCATTGCAAACGTGGTGCCGAAGCTTTGGTTGCAGATAAACTCTCACCGCTTTCGCTCGCGAGCGTTGGTATTGCGTGCGACAAAGATGGCAGCATACCCCCGGGGACAGCGCCACACGGCTATGGCTTAGGCTGCGTTAAAACCTGCAGCGATAAAATTGCCAAATGGAACGTACTGGGTTTGCAGGTATGTGTGCGTGTGCGTGAATGACGGCGCCATGTAGTGCTTTTCGTGTGTTAGTGTTGATTTGTCGCCCGGAATATAGTGTGTTTTGGAACCATTTGACGCTCGTTTTAGATTCTTGAATTGCATCCCTTGTCACACCTTGCTAACTCGAGTGGACTTTCAATTCTAATGTGCGACTCCCGCCCTGTGATAGATAGCAAAAAATATACGAGTGTATATTTATATATGATTATCCTACTAGATTAACTGCATACACATATTAACTCAACATATATTCGCATATCGATGTGCGTGTGCGTATGTATACACTTCGGTGTGCACAAACATTAATCTCTCGACTCTTGCAGTTGTACATAAATGTATGAAGATCTCTTTTTGAGTGCGCATACGCATGTATACGAACACGTACATCCAGGTTAGTTTACTTATAAGCAACAGTACTGATGTACAAATCCATATATCGAGTCCTATTTTCTCATACTCTTCCCACAGTGCATATGTATAGAAGCTTTCGTCAATTGTTTATTAATATGTATTTATTGTACACTGTTAGTATATCCATAAACTCACATACATTCATATGAGGCGACGGTACCATGTAAGACACATAATATTCTAGACAATCAGTGTATGATCATCCGAATGTCTTGGCCTGTTTACATTTGTGTAAGCGTACGGTATATTTACACCTATAAAATTCTGTAAAATTTTCATACTCGTTTCATTCGATTTAGAAGTACACCTTTAATTTTTTGCATAAAGTTGTGCGTAAGTATATATATATATACATACATACATATATATAT